TTAGGGGAGAGGTAGGTGGGCAGTTGCCCAGATACTGATATTGATCCGAAATTTGTTCATAAAAAAATTGAGTGAAGGTCTTCGATAAGTCCAACCTCGTTCCTGACTTGGCAAACCTAAAAACGAGGTTGAGGCAACAATACTGATCCCAAGATGTGCCATTCTAATTTGAACCAGTGTCATTCAAAGAAATATCTTGCAAGAATATTACTGATTTAATTTAGTGAAGACACTAACAGTAAGTTCAGTTGCAAGTCTTTTTGTATACACAAGTATGTTGCTTCTCTAATAGAACAGCGCCGACTTCGCGACTAATTTCAACAAGAGATGCATTTCCAGATATTTCATTTTATTTTATTTTCAGTATATTCAAAGTAGCGGTGTCCTGTCTAGTTTGACAAGGATTTTATTTTCAACAAAAAAACTTTTTTCCGGATTTCATGGCTTTTTTTACATTTATACATCATTAAAATTCATATCCTTTTACATATTTGAATAAATACACAAATTTTTCTTTGCTGCTTTACCCGTTATGCAGTTTTTTGCAGCGCAGGATTTCCCAGCAAGGAGTAAGGAAAGGCGTAAGCTCTGTTGAACAGGCCGTCACGGAGAGACAGTGAGAACGGTCACGCAATAATCATCGTCACGCATAAGTCCCTAGTTACGCGGTCTGTTGTATATCGAAGCTCAACATCTGAACCGGATGTAAGGGTCGCACTTTCACAGACTTTTGCTCTCTTTAATTTCTTCACTTTCCCCTTCATCACTCTCCTCTTGTGTATCCGCTAAAATAGGAAACGAAAAATAAATATTTAGAATCTATATAAAGCGGGGAATCATACACGAATTCAAAATTATTAGATCACATGAAGAACACGGGATATGTCGCCATAGATATGACTATATTTAATTTGCATACCAAATTTGGTACTGCTCAGGATTTCTCAAAATAGTGACCTTAAGCTACTTACTCGCTTAAATCCAGAGATCCTGTGAGTTTTGGGTAGAATTTCAAAACACACACCTTGAGTCACGCGGAAAAAACTTCGTGTTTTTTATGTTCATGGCAACGACAGTAACACTCACCGACTTAATACACATAAAATATTGCTCCTCTCGTTTTTTTGGCACAAAAATGCTGACTCGATTCCAGCAATATAATTTTGAAAAATGTAGCGAAAATTTTTTTCAATAAACCTTTTTTCAGCGATAATCTAAGACAAATCGAACAATTCTCGTTGATTCGCGCTTACGGGAAAGAGTGAAAACATTGAAAGTTTCAAGACATTTATATACCTCTGTTTTTCGGAATATGGAAGTAATCAGGAGGTTGAAATGGTGTTGGTCCGGTACACAAACATGCTATGGAGAACGCAATCGCTTGTAATCTCTGTGTGTCTGTTTTCTTGGACAGAAGTTGTTCTACTCTTGGGTCCAAGAAGCTTTCCATTTTTTTTTTCTGCGGGCGCTGTTCTTTTGATATTCGGTGACTCCGGATGAAGTTCTTGACTGTCTTACCACCCAGACTATTTGTAGTATATGAATTTTATTCACGCGAACGCTTGATATTTATTAGCCCCCATGGTTTGATCTGGCTTCTAAAAAAGGGATTCCGTCACCTGTTAATCGATTCGAATCTACCGGAAGTCGAACCCTTCTTTCTAGAAGGACTAATACGGTAGTTACGTGAATGTTCTTCATTCTCTCCTCTCCCACACTTTTAACAGCCCACCTGACAAACTTTTTTCGATAGGTCTGCGGTAATGATGATGTCATAATTATGTGGTTAACCTTGGCCCTTGCCTAGCAACCGAAAAAACAGCTTCTTTCTCATCTTCTAAGCAATTCTAAATTTAAAATAACAAAGACTTCGGAAGGTATTGATTTACAGAAATTTTTATTCTTAATTTCAAGATGTTCAAACACTGATTTTGAAATAAAACTTTAGTATTTTTAAATTTTGCGTGGGCAGCGTTCCTAATTATTCATTGTTCACGCAAGGTAATTCCATGTAACACCTGAAAAGGTCACGCCTGATTGAAAATTCATGTTTACAATCTGAGAGAAATGTTCGTGTCTTTCGCCATTTAGCGGAATAAAGGCAAGAAAAATCTTATTTCTATGGATCAACAAATCAAAATATTTTCACATATACTCGTCAAATTTCGACAAAATAGTGACCTTTTTAGGCCATAAAACAAACCTACCATATAAGACGATGATGAAAAATAACTTGGAGCTCCTGTTGAAAGATTAACCTGTTCAAGGAAGTTTATGAGTTACCAAAGAAGGGTTTTTCCCTACTGATCTTAGTCACGGGCTTTCAAATCACAGGATAAGAACTTTGATTTCCTTTTCAGTGTGGGCGGGGGAGTCGTTAGCTAAATCTACCAGCAAGAACTGTTCGCATTCCTGCAGTATTTTCCCTCGGATGCAATCAACTTTTCAGAAATCTAGCGTCGAATACTACATTCCTAGAAAATTAGATTCAAATTTTAAAGTATTTTCGAGAATATTCCCGTGTTAGAATCACTAAGCAAAATATTTTTTCCTATGTGACCTTTTTCTAAGCGTGACAAATATATTCACTTATCTTGTTAGTTTTTCTTTATTTTTTCTTATCGAAAAGAGAAAAGACGAATGTCTAATCTTGACCTATATTTAATATTATGTTTGATTTCCTTTGTTTCTGCTAAATGTTTGCTTGCCGTGGGAGGGGAAAGCTCAGACGAAACCAAAAATTGCTTTTCTTAGTGGCCACGTAATGTCACACAGCCAAGATCTAGAAAATTCGAAATTTTCCCTCCCTGCCGCCCACGCACACGTCTCTCTCTGATGAGACAGAATTCTGGAAACGAGGTTAAAGGCCTGCAAATAATCAGCGGCACTAGTAAGAATTTGTATGCGCGAGAATTTTCAACATGGCGGAAGTTATTGCTGATTCATGCTCTTTAAAATTTTAACGTTATCAGTCGCTAGATGTTGCTGCTAGATCGAATTTTAAAAGTGTCAGAAACACCTGAACCTATCATGGTGATTTACTATGATAAAATACAATTTGAGCCGTGAAATATCGGCTTGTCAAAGACAGCGAGCTTCACTTGTTACAACTGAAATATGGGAGTGAAAGGACTTTGGAAACTCTTAGAATCTGTTGGACGGCCGGTAACTCTGGAGTCGCTTGAAAACAAAATACTCGGAGTTGGTATCCTTTTCAAGCTTAACTTAGTTGTTTATATTATATTTTAATCATTTAGCTGACAAGATCTTTTGTTTTGTTACTCAAATTATCGACTTAACCATTAACTCCAATAGGTGATTGACATGTAAGTTCTCCCAATAATATTCATACATTATCCAATCAGATCGTGGGAGTTTAAGGGTTAATTTCTCGGCTTCAGTTTGACAAAGCCTTTTTTTTTTTAATATATTTTGTCGTTTTTGTTTGTTTTGTTTTGTTTTTCTTTGTGTCTTTTGTTTTTGGTTATGCTATTTGTTTGTTTGGTTGTTGTTACCATGGGACTTTTGGATAATCTATAAGAACTGGCTAGCACTTAACCCAAAAAACTACCCAGTATCTAATTTCTCCTTACAGTTTTACTTCTGAATCATTTATTAAGATAATCAGAATAAGATCATCAACCTGGGAAGCTTTGATTGTTTACCCTTTAACTCCCAAGATCTGATGGTAATTCTCCCCTGTAGTTGCTAGACATATCCTTGTAAAGTAGTTATGAGAATTCGGTGTTAGATCAAGGCAACAACTTCTACCTGATAAGTTTGAATATTCTCATCAGCTGTTTTCTGGGTAATGTAAGGATATTATTAGGAGAAGTTTCATGTTGATCACTTCTTGGAGTTAAAGAGTTAAACAAGTTCTCCTTGTCAGCACCAAATGTATGATGTTGTACGATGTTATTTACTCAAAATGATGATAAATGATGCTGATGATTGTAAATTATATGATAATTGACAGACAGCTGGTTCCCTTTCATTAGGAGTGCTACTAGTTATTACTGGTTTGCAGCAGACCGACATCATTTATTCTATTCCTTGCAATGACTGTGACAACATATACATCAGACAGACCAAACGTCAGTTTGGTATACATTTGAGAGAACATCCAAAAGTGGTTTTCTTTTGCAAAAAAGAAAATTCAGCTTTGTCAGAGCACACATGACCAACTAACCATACAATTGGGTGGGATAAGTCTAAAATTATCACCACTAATCGGCGTTACCACCATTGCCTTTGTTTGGAAGCTTGGCATATTAACTCTGCCTACGCTCCTTTGAATTGTGACGATGGTGGCTTACTTCCTGATGCCTATTTATACCTTGTCAGAAAAAAAGGAGCTAATTAGTGATCATATAAAAGGACCTCTTGTTGCAGGGTTTAGATCACCCCTGATGAAGGCGCTAGACAAGAGTGTCGAAATGTTGGGTTTATGAATTGTAACTTCTTCAGTTGCATTCATTAAATCTGTAAATTAGAGTAGCATCAAACTATGTCTGATACAGTGATCTCTAATGAGTTATAATTTTAAACCCTTAACATGTGAATAATCAGATGCCAGTGTGATCTTGAATCAAGCTGTGAAGGGGATGCGTGATAAGCAGGGAAATCCTGTTCCTAATGCACATCTTGTTGGCTTGTTCAGTAGATTATGCAAACTGTTGTATTACAGGATTAAACCAGTTTTTGTATTTGATGGTGGAGTGCCTCATCTCAAGAAAAAGACTCTGGTAAGATATCAATAACTTGTCTCCCCTTCCCTTGTGTTCAAAAGAAACAACAGTATTCCTAACTATTTCCTGTGCATGTCACTGTTTTCAGACATGACAACTTCTAAAATTTTTCTGAAAAAGGTACATTTACTACTAGTACTTGAAAATATACCTTGTTGGAGTCTAGCAATAGGGGAAACCTTGCAAGAATGTCAAATGTTAGCCTCAAAAATGTAGTACATGTAACAGTTATTGTAACGCTGTGATTAAATCACTGAAAAGATGTCTTCTTTTCCTGTGTAACACAACAACCCAGCTGTCAATAAGTTCAAAAGTAGAAGCAAATGAAAACAGTAGGTGTCCAGGCTACTGTGGATGCTATGTTGTTTTGTGAGATCAAACTAATGACAAGGAAGTATTCTGCTGAAATTTTTACAATGATTAACAAAGTTTGTATGAACCATTAAACAAAATTCTGATTGTGGAGTGGATTCACACATGTATAAACCTGTTGTTGGTAAATTATAGATTCAATTCCATTCAAAACTGGGAAATGTCTGCTGCACTAAGTTCTTCATCTTTTGCTAATATATAGATTTAGCCAAGCCTAAAAGCAGAGCTCGCATTTTTTTTTTCCCGCACATCTCAACACCTTGCCCCGGCCAGGACTAGAACCCGGGTGGTCCAATTCGGAGCCCAGTGCACTAACCACTGGACTACTGGACAAAGCCGTGGCGTTGGCATGCCTGTGGTACAGTTGACCACGCATGATAAAAGTAGCACCTTGTACAATCATACGGTCGTACATCCAAATTTTTTCGTCTTGATGGGTTACTACTATTTTGTATAATTATGGGTTAGCTCCGCTATAATCATTATGGTAAATAAGTTTTAAGTAAGAAACTAAAGATGGCAGATTCACCAATGGTTTTGACTGGTTATTAGCTCTTGTTGATAGCTTTGAAGAATTTCTCATAAGAAATGAGTTAGCCATGTAAATTGAGCAGTCATATGGCATGTTTCTACTGAACGTTCATTGTCTGTCAGTATCTTCAATTTTGGCTCAAATGAAATGACCACAGCAATTTCGTACATGTGAATGTAAATTGTTTGAAGTGTTAGCTTACTTTTACATATTTCTTTGAGAGGATTGAGTTTGTAAGGACATTGTTTGGTATTCTCTCTTATGATAATTACTTGCTTACCTAATATTTTAAATTTCTCTTAACACCAGGCGGCAAGAAAGGAACAAAGATTTAAAGCTGTTCACAAGTCAAAAAGAGCTGCAGAAAAGATCATCAAAAATTATCTGAAGGCCAAAGCTCTTGAAACTGTCACAAAGAGGAAGAGGTACTTTAGACCATAAACAGTTGGTAGGATATTTTGATTTGCTTAGTTGTTAATCAAGAGAAATTTCAACTAATATAAACAAGTGAGGGTACTGATTAGTTTCCAAGAAAGGCTAATTGCTTGTTGCTCTAGAAAATCAAGGGATTACTCATGGGTCAAAACATGAACTCTTTAATCCTTCTCCTTACAACAAAGTTGAAAAATTTCTTGGTAAGATAATACAACTTTTTTTTTAGTTCAGCTGTCCCTGTAAGAAGTAGGAGCCCAAGAGAACCTGATGTGTTTGAACTTCCTCCTCTGCCATCAAGTGCTGTCACAGATGATAAGAGGTGGGCAAAAATCTCAACATTAATTCTCTCTATGATGATTGTTAATTTTCTTGTAAGCTGTTTGTGAGAATTTGGTATTATATCAATGCCATGTCTTTTAGTTGATGTTTTATCAGTTCTCATTACCTGACTTCTCTCTAGTATGTTAACACTGTTAGGAGAATTTACAGGCTGATTACTTTTGGTAGTGCTAAGAGAAAAACTGAAGGATTCTTTTAAACTTGTTTGTATCAAAGTCATGGCAGTTTTATATTTCTCAAAGCTTGCCTTGATAGTTTGGAAGGCAAAGACTTACATGAACA